GGCGGGTCAGCCGGCTGGGGGCTCTAAAACCCTAGCCACCGTGGAGATGGGGCGCGCGACGTCATGGCAGCCTAGGGATGTCGAGCTGTGGCCCAGGGGTGCGGAGAGGGAGCGCTGGTGTCGGGAGAGGTCCAGGAGGCGACGGCGGCGGGGCGCCGGGGAAAATTGGCAGCCTGACAGCGTCGGGAGGAAGAAGAGAGCGCCCAACACTTACTAAATTTTGGCTCCTGAGCGCCCATGCTTATATACCCAGGATGATTTGTAGGGGCGACTTAAAACACCATCCGCCCCTATAAATGAATTTATAGGGGCGGTTCCTAATATAGCCACCCCTACAAATATTTTCCATTTTATTAAATTATTAATTCTATATTTTTTATATCACAAAAATACAAAGTAAATATATATAATATTTTGTATTATTCTATATATGCACAAATATATATAAAATAATTTGCTGATATTCAAAACAATATAGAAAATAAAAAAAATTAAAAATTAAAAATTTGAATTTTAAAACTTCGACTACAATTTTAGGACATTAAATGACCTAAAATAAAAATGTTGTAAATATAAAAGTTGTATAACTCATTAAAATGTACAACTTTTATTTTGGTCATCGTGTCATGTGACTTTATTTGAACGATTCAAAATTTGAAATTTAAACATTTACAACTTGAAATAACATTTTGAAAGAGTATATGATTTCAACTGAAAAAGTCATGAATATAAAAGTTGTACAACTCATCAAGATGTACAACTTTTATTTTGATCATCTTTTCATGTGATGAACTTTGAATGATTCAAAATTTGAATTTCCAAAAATGATAATTTCAAACAATATTTTGAAACACTAAATGATTTCAGCTGAAAAACTCATGAATACCAAAGTTGTAGAACTTATCAAGATGTACAACTTATATTTTGGTCATCTTTTCATTTGACCAAATTTGAATAGTTCAAATTTTGAATTTCAATAAATGACAACTTCAAACAAGATTTTGAAACCTTAAATCATTTCAAATATAAAAGTTGTGAACATAAAAGTTGTTGAACTCATCACTATCTACAACTTTTATTTTGATTATTTCTTCATCTGACAAAGTGATAGTAAACATTGTTCATAAATTCACATATCACTCATAGTTTCATGAACTATATGAGAGACATGTTGATTTATGAACAATGTTTACTATCACTTTGTTAGATGAAGAAATAACCAAAATAAAAGTTGTAGATCTTGATGAGTTATACATATTTGGTATTCATCACTTTTTTTGCTGAAATCATTTGGTGTTTCAAAATCTTGTTAGAACTTATCATTTTTTTTTAAATTTGAAATTTTAAAATGCTCAAATTTTGTCAAACGAAAAGAATGACCAAATCTGCACAATAACTTGATAGAGCATGATTTTAGAAAATTTTAGGAAACAAATCATTACATTTGGAGTTAGTATGAGGGAGAAAGACTAGTTACAAAATTTACCTAGAGATTAAAAAGAAAAATCACAATTGTTCATGATGATCAATGATGAACAAGTGTGATTTCTCTTTTTAATATGTGGCTAAAACTTATAACTAGTTTTTCTCCCTCATACTAACTCCAAATGTGATGATTTTTTCCTAAAATTTTCTAAAATTATGCTCTATCATTTTAGTCTAGTCATCTATCTTTGTCCCTAATTTTAGACAATTCAAATTTTAAATTTTAGAAAATGATAAGTTCAAACCTGATATTCAACCACTAAATGATTTCAGCTGTAAAGGTGATGAGTATAAAAATCATATAACTCGTCAAGATCTCCAACTTTTATTTTGGTCATTTCTTCATTTCATAAAGTGTTAAGTGCTTGTTTTAAGTGTTTTAACAGTAGTCCGAACATGTTGCAGTAGTAATAAGTGCATGTTTCAAGTGTCTGCGTGTTAAAGCTATTTTAGTAGTAAGAGAGTGGATGTTGCAATATGTTCATCTGGATGTTGCAAATGATAGTCTCACACACAAGCATAAATGTAGTCTCACACATATACATAAATATATAGTCTCACACACATACATAAATATATAGTCTCACACACATGCATAAATGAAGTCTTACAAACACACATGCTTTTGTCACCCTTTTTTAAATTTTCTAGACCTTTCGGGCTTTTCGATAAAATCTCTGGTCCAAGGGCTCGAATCATGTCCTCCAAATCATCTTCATCCCTAACACGCGCTGCTCTACCATCATTATTGTCACCACCTTCGTCGTTAGCATTCCAACCACCAGCATCACCACCTTGTTCATTGCTAAACTCAAGATCCATTCGTGCATCAAGCTCTGCTAAATATTGGGACAGGTATTCTAGGGTTTCATCGTCGTATTCCTCCTCATCCTCGTCGTTAACAATAATTGTTTCACCATGATGAATCCATACTTCGTAGTCCTCAATAAATCCTCGCATAATCAAATGTGATCTGATGATAGTCACATCTGTCCATGCCATACGGTTCTTGTAATCATTACAGGGATAAATAATTGTATTCTTATTCTCTATCAACGTCGCTGCATGCTTCTCTGCGGTTTCAATAAATTTATCCACCTCTTCATGGAAACCTGCCTTGAACCTTAATGAACCATACATCCAAGAGTTCCTATACTCCATCTATTACAACAACAACAAAACATTAAAGGACTACTTATTCAGATATATATAAAAATGAATCAAATTAATAATTACTTAAGAATAATTATATATACTTCAGATATATATGAATATAAATCAAATATAATTACATGAAGCATACAAACATACCATGGTAGAGGAAAAAATTAATTAATGGCCTATTTATCCATAAATAATTAAAATACATATTTGTTGATTACAATAAATAATTTTAAAGACAATAATTAGCAACAATTAATATTTTACCCCATCTCTTTCATGCAAACCCTAGTCCAATTTCATTAAACATAAATTTACAAAAACAAAATTAATAAAAAAACCAAACCCTAGATCTAGATCTAGATCTACATGCACATGAAACATCCATAAAACTAACTAATTGTTCACTAAAATCAAGAAACATGGCCCAAATAAGGGTATGATCTTATTCCCCTACCTAATTTACCCTAGTACATTCAAAACTTGGGTCTAATTTGCTTCATAGGTAGCTCAGGCACCATAGAAGAGAGAGTAAAGCAAAACTCTAATTACTCACTAACCAACCATTAAAACTTCAAAAAAATGTGGAATAGCATTTTCTTACCTTCTACAACCTCTCCACCAAAGAATTTGAGACCAAAATATTTCCCCCTTAGTAGAGCAATTTTTGGGAGGTGCCCAAGGCCTCCCTACCTTTTTTCATGGGTTGGAGTGAGTGACCCGAGGAGGAAGAAGGAGCGATAGGTTTTTATACGTAGGGCATTTGTAGGGGTGGCTGGTGATTGAGCCGCCCCTACAAATCACAACACCGGGGGTGGCTGGTGAGTGAGCCGCCCCTACAAATCGACCCATTTGTAGGGGCGGCTCGTATCACCAGCCGCCCCTACTGTGCTATTTATAGGGGTGGCTGGTCTCGTGGGTCCTGAGCACGCCCACTATAGGGGCGACTCTATCACCAGCCGCCCCTATAAAAAAATTGTCCCATTGCTACAAACATTTTTTTAGTTGTGATGCATGTTTTTAATATCTCCTGTGACCAGGGAAATCGGCATACATGTTTTAAAGGAATTTCCCCTACCGTCATTAGGGGATGCGGAAATCGGCAGGAGTTTCGGGGTTTTCTTGATCTGCTTGAGAAAATCTTTTTCTAAAGCCAGAATACTGGGGTTGTCTAGCCATCGTGGATCGAGTTTTTTAAGGATGCAGAAGAAGTATTTTTATTTTTCCAGAATCTTTAATTTATTATAAGTAATTCAAAAAATTTGAAGAATCAACGACTCAGATTTATTTAAGATATTACATCTTAGTTGATAAAGGGTGTATCTTGATTAACATTGCCCTTAAGATAAACAGTTGCAGCGAACCACCCCAGAAAAGTCTGAAAAGCTGGCAATGGTCATGGACATGCACTACCCTTCACAGCGACAGGAAATGAACTTACGCAACTGTAGCGCCAAGAATATTCGAACGCCCGTGTGAAGTGCACCGCCCACCGCCTATATCTCCTCGGCGGATCTTAAGGGGGGCTCCAGCCCCCCTACAACTGATGCATCAATAGAAAATGGGGATGGTGAGGGAGAAGAAGAGGTGAAGGAAAGAAGAAAAATGAAGGGAGAGAGAAAGAAGAAGAGACCAGCCCCTTTCAATCCTATTCTACATCCACCACTGTCTCCTCCTACCCCCAAAGATTCCATTCTCCCCGCCCTTCCCCACACAAGAATCTCTCTTGAGTTTTATTTTTCAAACTACATAATATAGACACAGAAGTTCACAGTAGATACACAGCACTGTCATCTAGCCGTCGATAGGTGCATCATCTGCTACTGAAAAAATAGCACCGCTAAATTAATAAAGTACTTATTGTCGATTGGTACGTCATCTGCTACTAAAAGAATAGCACTGCTAAATTACAAGTACCTGGAGTAGTTTTTCTGGTCTTCTGGCTCCTTGCTAGCTGGTAAAGTTATTTTTTCTGGCTTCATCTTTTTGAGTTAATTTTTTGAAGAGGAGAGAAATAATTTAAAACTATTCATTACCACAGCAATATTTTCTAGAGATTGGAGTCGCACACTGTGGCCACTAACTTCACCACCCTACACGCACCCTATAAGCAGCGAGAGGAGAGAGTCGTCGTCGTCGTCGAGGTCGTCAGCAACATGTTGTCGTCCGGGGCGATGCCACTGATGATGCCACTGGCGTACCAGACATCGGTGGCGTCGCCCGACTGGCTGAACAAGGGCGACGACGCGTGGTAGCTGACAGCGGCGACGCTGGTGGGGCTGCAGAGCTTCCCTGGCCTGGTGGTGCTCTACGGTGGCGTGGTGAAGAAGAAGTGGGCCGTGAACTCAGCCTTCATGGTGCTGTACGCGTTCACGGCGGTGTGGATCTGCTGGGTGACGTGGGCCTACAACATGTTGTTCACCGACAAGCTGCTGCCGCTGTGGGGCAAGGCCCGGCCCTCGCTGAACCAGGGTTACCTCGTGGGGCAGGCCGACCTCCCCGCCACGGCGCACTACTTTGCCGATGGGACCACCGTGGAGACCGCCACCGTGGAGCCGCTATACCCGATGGCCACCGTGGTGTACTTCCAGTGCGTGTTCGTGGCCATGACGCTGATTCTCGTGGCCGGGTTGCTGGTGGGACGGATGAGCTTCGCGGCGTGGATGCTGTTCGTGCCGCTCTGGCTCACCTTCTCCTACACCGTCGGTGCCTTCTCCTTCTAGGGCGGTGACTTCCTCTTCTAGTGGGGCGTCATCGACTACTGCGGCGGCTACGTCATCCACCTCTCCGCCGAGTTCGCCGGCTTCACGGCCGCCTACTGGGTGGGTCCCCGGGCGCACAAGGACAGGGAGAGGCTCCCGCCCAACAACATTCTGTTCACGCTCACCAGCACAGGTTTGTTGTGGATGAGGTGGGCCGGGTTCAATGGTGACGGGCCGTACGCTGCCAACATAGTGGCATCCATGTCGGTGCTCAACACCAACATCTGCACCGCCATGAGCCTCATCGTCTGGACATGCCTCGACGTCGTCGTCTTCAAGAAGCCATCCATCGTGGGCGCCGTCGAGGGCATGATCACTGGACTCATCTACATCATGCCCACTATAGGTGATCCCATCGTCTGTCTTCCCTGCCTCTGATGATCTGCCTGTGTCGTTCTCTTCTCGTGCTGCCAAATTTTAAAATTTTCTCCTCCTCGATCAGAATTTCTCATTATATTGCTATACACAAAATTAGAAGACGGACAATGAGAAATTTCGTATCCCCTAATTTTCTTGAACGCATGTAAACCTGGTTTAATTTAATCAATCTGTCGATGGACGATGAGAATGTGATATATATCTGACGATACGGTGTGCCGTGTGCCGTGTGCCGTGTGCGAGTGCATGCATGTAGGGTTGGCGCATGGTGTTATGTTGATCTCTACCAACTTGGTCCAATGGTTAATTGGGCCTTTGATCTGCGTCCTGATCGGGGGCGTCCAACCCTATCTATGGTTGGTGGGCCCCCATCGCACAACGCCATAAAAAGGAGGTGGAGGCCAGGCACAAGGTTCACTTGATCCACCACAAACCCCACCTACATCCTAACCCTAAGTCGATCTAGAGAGAGGGCGCTGCCAGCGACGGGAAGCCGCCACCGCCACCTCTGTGACCGCGCCTCTACTGCGACGTCCACACCGTCGCCGGACTCCACTGCTACTCTACGTCCTCACCGCGTCACCGACACCTACGCCATGGCCAACTCATCTACCTCCAAGGCGACCGATGGTTTGCTAACACCGCATCCCTCTCTCTCTTTCCTAGCACTAGTTTATATTCTAGGGTTTACCATATCCTAAATTCAAGTTCATACACGCTAGATCTACTGCTAGTCGATCCTAATGATCTATCAATGGTATCAAAGCATTACTAGACAAAGATCTAGCTTTTGGGGTAGACCAGATCGAGAAAGTAAAGGAGGGGATTCAATTTGCGAATCGGATCGAAACCGTAACTCTAACCCTAGAAGGGAAACGGACAAAGAGGGGGAGGAGCCTACCTGGTTTCTTCATCACCATCGACACCGCCGCACGCGGGAAGAAGGACCCACCGTGCGCCTCGCCGGCACGCGGGAAGAAAGCACTGCACGCGTGAGCACCGGCTAGGGCACCGTCACAGGACCGCTCAACGGCGGCACGCTCACCCCTACGGCGACACCACCGTTCCTTTTTCTCTTCGGCCATCATGATTTTGGGTGAGAAAGGGATAGAAAACTGGCCGCCATGGCGTAGAGAGAGAAGGGAGAAGAGCAAATGAAGTTAGGGTTCGGGAGAACCGGCGCACACGTGGTTTTTGTTCCGCCGAGAACGATGCTCGGCCGTCGGATCACGATGGATGGCTCCGGGCGCTCGGGTCAGCTTTCAGCCTAGGCAGGCGAAGTAATTCCCGGCCCAGGCCCAGGTTGCGGCCTGGGTGCGGGGACAACGCAGCGCGCGAATGAATTTTGGCCCGAATGCACAGTAACGATTATGAATTTGTTTATTCTTTTTTAGAAGCAATTTTTTGATGATTTTTGTCTAGTTTAAATCTGTCAAAATTTGAATCAACGGGATAATTTTTTCAGAGAGTAGATGAGTACAGTAAAATGCTTCTGAAAAGTAGATAAATTATTTTTTCATGTTTCCGCTGCAAAGTTTAACGTTTATTATCTTCTAATTAAATTCGAATCAACGGGAGGATTTAATTTAAAGAGCAGTTATTTAAATTATAATATTATTATTTTTCTTACCAACGTTGATAATAGCAATATTATAATCTTTTTTAATGAGTTTTTCCATGTATTAATTCTATTTCTGCCTAACGGTGATGTAGAATTAGTGTAGAAGAATGTTATATGTTGTATGTTTTAATTTTGACCAACGTTAAATTAAGGCAAGCAATTATTAAGTCATATTTTCTCACTATCTCTGATGGTGTTTTTCAGGACTCAACCCTATGGCATTTATCTCGCACATATCGCCTCTTGAAGGGGGCAACTATCGTGTATGGTGAGAGAAGTATGAATTTGCACTTGCGCTGTCCAAAAATGACCTAGCGCTTACCTCTCCGTGTCCTACTGAGCCAGTGAACCCGGTGAGGGAAGAAAATAAAATTGATGCTGATTTCACTGCTCGACAGCGAGATCATGTAGAAGTAAGAATGAAATATGATCTCAAACGTAAGAAATGGGATATTTCGAACCGCAAGTGCTTGATGGTGGCTAAGTCCACTATTTCAGATGTAATAAGGGGGTCTATCCTAGATTGTGACACCACCATAGAGTATCTCAAGAAAATGAGTCAGTTTACTGGCTCTTCAAAGGCTTATGCTAGTACCCTGATAAAGAAATTATTCAATGAGAAATACTCTGGTGGAGGGATAAGAGAACACATATTGAAGATGAGCAACATGGCTTCCAAGATGAAGCCAATGGATTTGAGGCTCAAGGATAAGTTCTTGATTCATTTGGTTTTTGCTTCCTTGTCTAAAGAATATAAAACTTTTGTTGTAAATTACAACATGCAGCCCGATAAATAGGATATTGAGAAGCTCATTGCAATGTGTCTGCAAGAAGAGGAGAGGCTGAAAAGCTCATAGGGTGACTCTGCTAACCTTGTGAAGGACAACAAGAAGAAGAATTTTAACAAGAATGCCAAACCTCAAGGGAAAGCCTCTCAGAATGACCACCATTAGAAGAACAACAATGCCCAAGTTGAAAAGGATCAGTGCAAATGGTGCAAGAAGCATGGACATTACCAGATGGACTATCCAGATTTCCTGAAGAGCCTTTTAAAGAGAGGTGAGGACTTCAATACATTCATAGATGAGTCCTTATATTTAAGTTATGCAAAATCTACTTGGTAGATTGATTTAGGTGCAACTATTTATGTTGCAAATTCATTACATGGGTTCCATACGAGGAGGACCCTGCAAAGAGGAGAAAGTAGAATTAAAGTTGCAAATGGAGTTGAAGCTGAAGTTGAAGCCATTGGAGATCTCTCTCTAGAATTAGATGATGGTTTTATACTTCAGCTTTCAGATATTCTTTATGTTCCCTCTTTACGTAGAAACTTGATAAGTGTTTCACGACTAGACGATGATGGATATGATTGCCATTTTGGTAATGGCAAATGTCAGATTGTGTTTAATAATAAGTGTCTTGGTCTTGCCTTCCGACAAGACAAGCTTTATTTGTCATCGCTTTTTGAGAATGTGAATGCTATGAACACTGAGAATGAGAATGCTTCCTCATCTATGAATGCAACAAATAAGCGGAAGAGAGTTCATGATGTATCATCGAAATTATGGTACTATCGTTTAGGTCATATTTCGAGGGGGGGAATAGAGCGATTGATTAAGAAATCAATTCTTTCGCCTTTAGAATTTTCAGATTTAGAACAATGTATTGATTGCATAAAAGGAAAGTATGTTAAGAAAATAAAGAAAGATGCCAAACGAAGCGCAGGAATTTTAGAAATAGTTCACACAGACATCTGTGGTCCTTTTTCTATAAAGAGTGTGGATGGTTATGATTAATTTATAACATTCATAGATGATTATTCTCGTTTTAGCTATATTTATTCAATTAAAGAAAGATCTAAAGCGTTGGATAAATTTAAGATTTTTAAGGCTGAAGTAGAAAATCAGCACAACTTAAAGATTAAAGTAGTAAGATCCGACCGTGGGGAGAGTACAACGGTCGACACACCTCATATGGCAAAGTTCCTAGACCTTTTGCAAGGTTCTTACAAGAAAATGGCATAGTTGCCCAGTACTCTACACCGAGCGAGCCTTAGCAAAAGGGAGTTGCTGAAAGATGCAATCGTACCTTAATGGATATGGTGAGAAGTATGATAAGTTATTCTACTCTACCGATAAGTTTATGGATGGAGGCGTTAAAAACCGTCATTCATATTATTAATCGAGTGTCATGCAAGTCAGTGTCTAAAACACCATATGAGTGTGGGGTTGTCCAGCTGAGGCTAAAGTCTTTAATCCAAACATAGGGAAGCTAGACTCCAAGATAGTCAGTTGCCATTTCATTGGCTATCTAGAAAAGTCAAAAGGTTACCGCTTCTATTGTCCTGACAGACATATGAAGTTTGTAGAAACGAGACGCGCTGTGTTCTTGGAGGATGATATGGTCAAGGGGAGCATGGTAGCGCAAGAAATTAATTTTGAAGAGAAGCAGGTATACGTGCCCACTCCGATGGTTCAGAAACCATTCTTCATGCTAGCCGTTGTTGCTATACCAACAGTACATGACACTATAGTAACAGCACCTGTTATTAGTTCTCCTGTGGCAACAATAAATGAGCATGAGGAACCTGTCGTTCAGGATCCCATAGAACCCGTTGTCATACATGAGGAAGAGCAACAACAGCCTCATATAGAACAAGTGTCAAGTAACGAGGCCTCTAGAAGGTCTCGAAGAGTTAGGAGATCAGTCATTCCTAATGACTACGAAGTTGTAACACCCCAGGTGTTTGCCACCAGTTAAGCAATGGGTTTCAGCTAAAACATGGTATATTAAGTGATGATGAAGATGTCAAGGTCAACCTATGGAATTGAGCCCCGACCTAAACTTGAATATTGCACCCTTGCTTACATATAGGCCCTTTTCAAGATATATGCTTGGGTGGTGTGATTGGGATATCTTCATGTGTCTCACATCAATAACCATCATATTGGGGCACTCGAAAAAGTTTCATGAAGTTTGGAATCAAAAGTCACATGAAATGACGAAGTTATGTCCTTGCTTGAATTAATTTATAAAGTGAATGGAATTCTCGATCGTCAACCAAATCTTGCAACCATGCCCAAATGACTCTAGATAAATTCTACAACAAAAGTCATGAAAGGTTCATGTTGAGCAAATGCCAAGAAAATGCTCCAATGGATCAAAAGGATAATTTAAGCTTCATCGTGATCCTACTTTGGTCAAAGTAGAACAATAGGTTCTATGCCAGTTTTGAGGTTGGACCTTAAATGAAAGTTGTAGTCCATATCATGTAGAACAAACTTTGTTTTTGGACCAAGAGCTGGATCAACTTGGAAATAAGTCAAACAGAGGCTTGAAGTTGGAAC